CAACGAGACCTCACTAACTTTCTGCTAATGTTTTACCAAAGGACCCTCAGACCCTGCGTTAAGAGGAAGCTGCTTACCCAAACCAGCCCATAGTTCAAGCAGGGCCATTATCAGCTCCTGTAAGGGCAAATTATTCAGCACAGGGAAGCTCTCCATTTAACCCTGCAAGGCAGCTCAGGAATTCATGCCAAGAATTAAGACATCTGCCCCAAAACACCAGAAGTGCAAGTTTCACTTAGGTGCTCAGAGAAAACAGAGGTCTGTCCTCTGTCTCTGTGCTTGCAAGGGCTGGTGGGCAGAGCAGCACCAGAAAGGTCCTTCTGATAATTCAGTCCTGATTTCTTTAAGTGTCAGCAATGAACCATAAACACAACCCTGCAGATACAAAACACACTTGGGATTATAAAAAGAAAACAGAAGACAACAGTGTCAGAACTAGGCTGAGGCTACATCCTCAACATCAGCCATGAACGCAAGGCAACACCTTCACAAGCCACCCCGGCAATATAGCAGGCTTCAGGTGCACACCAACTGCACAGAAGTAAGGGACCAAGCAGAGAGAGCAAAGGAAAATTTGGGAAGCAGAGGATGTGGTAAATCCTTAAAATGTCTTAAACCAAAATACTTTCCAGCATCATGACATCCTGCTTCTAGCAGGTCTCATTTTCAAAGCAGCATTCTTGCTCCTCAGCTGTTGCCTACCAGATACTGTATTACTGCTGTTCTCGCATCTTAGCATCTCAGCTGTCCCCCTAGAATAGAAGGTCATGTTATAAAGGCATATATATAGTAAGCAGAGGATCCAATTCATGGGACAATACTGGAAAGCACATATGCTGTTAATTTTTAAAAAGTTATTTCATTCAAGAAAAAAATACCACTTTGCTAATAAATTAGGCTCAAGTATTTTTAAGAAGATATCCAAAATATTTTCAGAGAAATATAAACACACAGCCTCTGCAGTTCCCAGGTTATTAGCAGACAATGCTCTAGGATTGTGCACTCTGGAAAGAAACATAGGATGCAGCAAAATATAAAACTGCCTTCTGCTCTCAAAGAGCTAAATGTTTCTCCACAGCAGGTGTTTTAGCATTGTGCTTTCTCACTAAGTATAGTACTTGAGCTCTACAAGAGTGCAGAGGTGGAGCTGCCCAGCTGAAATGTCTAACAGCCTATAGACTGTTACAAATGGCAAATGTCATGAACTTACCTGAAATATGTTTTTGCTTCAATTTTAACCCAAAGTATTAAAAAAAAGGCCAAGACTTTAGCTGTAACTAGCCCAAATGGAAGACAGCCTGTCTCTGAAGAGGCAGACAGCTTTTGGGCATCTCCACAATGTGGTTCAATGACACACGAACAGAGGAGATCACAGACCTCTGCAATGTGTTATAGAAACACCTGTGATTTACCATCGGTCGTTCTGGAAGCTCACAAAGCTATCACTTAGAGCATCTATCTATAACACAAGATCCCAATTTTACTGCCTCTTATATAACAGCATATTTTTAGCCATATTAAACTCTGCTGCTTTCAGGGCTTTTTCTGGCAATAGTCCCCCAAACAAAAGAGAAACCTGCACTTATTACCTGGGTCCCAGTTTCCTAGGTGTATTGAGAAGTAAGGCTGACCGACACCTTCCTCTGCATTTTTGCCAAGGAAGTGAATTTGTTGTTTTTCCTGTTGCACCAGAAATTTATTTGGTGCCTTAGTTCAGCTCACCTGCCATGCTGGACATGTTAACCAGCCTCCCCTGGGATTTCCGAAGTAACGGTAAGAAGGTCTTGGACACCTCTACAGCCCCGAAGAAGTTCACCTCCATGCATTGCCTGTACATGCTCATGGGGAGCAGCTCGCCATCAGCAGGGAAGCCCAGGACGCCCGCATTGTTCACAACTCCCCAGAGCCCTGGGAAGAGAAGAAAGCACAGGGCTAATGTAGAGCAGGAAATCATCTCCATAAAGATTAAACTGATGAGCTGGATGGTGCCTTGAGATCAAAGCAGAGGTTATCTGCAGATACAGATACACAGTATCCCCTCCTTGAACAGTCATCACCATTTTTGGTATGTCCCAGAAAGCAGGAGTCATCAATATAAATACCCTGACTGCTCAGCGACTGCAGCATGGAAACCACCTACACACATAAGCCGCAACGCAGTGAACAGGTAAGAGATGTAAGCAGGCACGTTAATATGTCCGTTATAATGGCAAAAAAGCCATACCTGTATTTTGCACCTTGTCCGAGACTTTTAGATAGGCTTCCTTGACTTGGGTAGGATTTGTTATATCCAGCTGCAGAAGAGAGAGTCTCTGAGAACAGGTCCGTCTCAGTTCCTCAGCTCCAGGTCCATCCTTATTCAAAACCCCAGCAAACACTACAAACCCTAAGTTATCCAGGTATTTAGCCAGCGCATGCCCAATCCCAGTGTCGCTTCCTGAAAGCATCAAAAAGACACTTGAAAAGTGGGTCTGCCCTAAACCAGCATCTACCGAAAAAAAAATCCAAAAACACCCACACAACAAACCAAAGGCATGCATTGGAAATACAGTCAAATGTAACCATAAAGATGATGAAATAAAGTCACTGAAATACATACAATGGTAGGAAGAAATGTTCAGACCTGAAGGTGTGAGGAGCCGGACCTTTGCATGCTCCACAAATATTGACAGACCATGTTCTCTTGGCTCAGAGCTGATGGCATCAGCTCATGCTCTACCACAGACAGATTCTAAGACTTATTTCATACATACAGAGGAAATAAAACCCTGGATTGGGTTTATACAAATATTCAGGCCGAGATCTGATAACAAAAGTATCTGGGGAAAAAAAAAACAAACCAAGAAAACACACAGAAATATTGTAACTTGAAATCTCAGATGGACAAAGCAATTATAGGGCACTGATATTCAAATAAATTGTTGGGTCCTCTGTCTTCATTCAAAGAAGTAGCATTATTTTATTCAAACATCTACTGCCCAGATCCTCCTGATAATTATTTTTTTGTCACATGCTCCCACCAAGGCAAAGCTAAGCAACTGTTTCTTTAACTGGAAAGGAGTTCAGTGCTTTGAAACCATAAGAAGCTTCAGAATGGCATTTTCAGGCTGAGCCAAATACTGCCAGCTATTTAATTCATGCAAACTTGCATCAGAATTTCTCTTATCCTCTCTATTTCCCTCCAAACTTGTTCCCAGACTTCGTCCCTATAAAGCAGTGAACTAGCAAATGCTGGAAGCACCGTTAAAGCAAACGCACAACAACGATCTCTGCAATCACAATTGTGCAGTTCCTCCCACCAGGTAACAATGAATATTTAACAAACAATTTGATTAATTCACAAATCTCTCTCTTTCATATAGTACTTCGTTGCCACCACCTTAAGATACTTTTCAGTGTTTTCTCTTCCAGTGTGCTTTTTCATTCCAGTTTCCATTCTTCCCATCTACAGAGAAACACCTTAGCAAGGGAGGAAACATCTCGCCCAACTGCTCACCAAGATCCAAATGAAGCAACACGGGGTTTTGCTAGAGACAGGGAAGAAGTTTATAGGGACTGTACTGCAGGAGTGCTGCAAAGGACCATACCAGGAGGAAAACGAGGAGTTTAAGAAATTAATGCAGTTTTTATACTATAAAGCAGAGATACATCAGAATGCCCCGTGATATGGCACTGCACCCTCCACTAACTGCAGCAAGGAGCACTCCTGGATGCTGATGTGCCCCGAGATCTGTGGAGCTATCCCAGGGCTTGGCTATCTCCTGCAATAGCTATTTGTTACGTAAATGCTCAGCTTCCAAACTCACCCGCATGGCTGGAAGTCTGAAAGCACGACAAAGGGCTGGGACTCCAGCCAGGTTTTTTATTACGATTTCCTCATTTGTGAAAAAGCTGTCATATTCCCTACTTAACCCTTCCAGAAAATTATACAGCTTAAACAGTCCTTTCGGGACACCAAGGTGGATATTATCATAGCTATTCACAGGCCTCCTCCTGCACTGAAAATCAATAGTTAATTGAATTTCACTGCCAAAGAGACTCATCTTAATCAGGCTAGATCTTCCTTTCTGGGTTCTGTCTTTACATCGGGGCTTTAGTTCTGAAAGGTGAAAAAAATTAGTTCAGGGTGACTTGAAAGAAAAATGTACTAAATGCCTGGATCAATCAGTGGAAGATGTTGAAAAGAATTACTCATGCTCTACTTAATCCCTTTTCAAAAAAAATGTGTTTTGGCATTTCTGCAGTCTGTGGTTTGTTGAAGATGCACCAGAGCACCACATATATCACACGTAGTTTCTCGCAGCCCTGACCTGAAAGAGAAGAGAGCAAACCTGCATTCTTGGAATTCCCTAGAGAGACATGAAGAGGCCTGCAAATATCCCGAAGACACAACAGATTTCTGGGTTTGGGGGTGGGGTGTCTTTCCTCCTTTCTCTTTTAGCGAAAAACCTTATTTCTGGATCAAATGCTTCCCCTTTCATCCTTCCCAGCAAGTACATGGCCACAGAGCTACATAATACTGAAGTTTTACAACACAGCTTTAACTTGGGAAGGGGCAGGATGCTCAACCGCTAGGGATGGGTGTAGCAACCCCAAGAAGCAAATAAAAAGCAGCATTTATGTATGCCTGCTGCTGGGTTTGTCCCCAGCTTTTATCAGAACAAGTCTGAATTGATTTTCAGACCTGAAGTCCAGAGAAACTTTACTGTTCAACTCAAAATTCAAACAGTAGTTAGAGGTCTCTGCAGGGAAGTAATAGCAAATTCCCCCTGCCTTGCTTCTATGTCAACAATAACAATTTGTGAATGATGAGAGGATTTGTAAGACAGACTGGCAGTACTGACTGTAGCTGAATCTTTACCAAGAATTTATTGACACACTCAGCATCAGAAACACCAAGTCCCACACCAGAAGTGAAAAGACCAAGTTAACTGGAGAAATTCATCCCACTGCACTCAGAATAACCGAGGCAAGAATCTTACAACTCCTGCTACTTTGGATCTTCATGGTAAATTAATTTTTAGGGACGCTGGCTACCAGGTCTACCAAACTACACTAAAGTTCGCCTGCCCAGGAGCTCCTGTTTAAGGACACTGAAGCACTCACTCCCAGCAAGAGGATCAAAAGAAATGTTTCACCGATGACTTTATGATTGCTCATATGCCTGCAGTTATTCATCTGAAAAAGCATTTTGACAACAGTTTCCCCTTACTGTGGTACTCTGGCAAACTGCCGGCTTAAATAAATAATGCACTGCAGAACCCATACAAGGGACATCCAAAGAGGACCAGAACAGTATTTGACAAAACCCAGGAAGGCAAGCACACCGATGACTCCATCCTCTGGCTGAGGGCAGCCGGCTCACGAGTGATATGTGGCAGCTGCCCAGAGCACAGCAGCATTCCTCAACCCTGCGGGGCTGAACAGTGGAAAAGAAGAAGAAAATAAATCACCATTTCCCATGAAGCACCCGCATCAACTCTTGTCTAAATTGCAGAAAATGACACAAAAATTGATTTAAAGGCACCTTGCACCTGCACACAGACACACCTCCTACAGTTGGCAAAGGGAAAAGCACTATAATCAGAGCAATTTAACCAAGAAATGTGTTGAGCAGAGCTTTCTTTTCAGTTGATGGAGGGCTTGATTGATTGCATATCAGTCTGGATTCAAATACAGACCAAGCAGAGCCTCCTCAGACTGTCAGAGGTGTCCAAACTTGCGTTTCTCCAGGACAGGTGCAACACAAGTACAAAGAAAGAACATTCACTTGCTGGAATATACCCAAATGTTCTTCACACCCCTATACTGCTCTAATTCAAATTCTCTAGAGCAGGTAAGCGCTAAGAGAGTGGTCTTTCCTGAAAAACTGCAATCTTGCAAAAAGCAAGAAGATGCACAAGCACAACCCCCACGGCTTCAGGGGTGGGGAAGGAGTCCTCCCTGCTCCCCCCTTTCCCGATACCCATCTTCATCTGGTACCCCTGCAGAGAGAAACCCAGCTTGCAGGTAAATCCTGAGGGGAGAACGTGCTGCTCATCTTGTCCTCTCTTAACTTTTGTATTTAATCCCCACATTAATGCTGGCTAGGCAAATCTAAATTATTTCCAGGTGTCCCTATAAAATGAAATTAAATTCTGCAAGAAATAGCTATATAAACCACAGCAACTTAATTCAGCTTTCCAGAGGGGAAAAATAGAAAATAAAGCAAAAAAAGAGCAAGTTAACAGTGCAAGAAGCAGTTGGCAGGCACTGCAGTTTAAAGGTTTGATTAACACAAATAAACAACATTTAAAGTTTTAGAAGAAACAGGGGAAAAGTCATTAAACTACAAAAATGCCATCCCTGCAAACTAAAAGTGGGTTTTGAGTGGATCGGAATGTTAATACAGACTGAATTCATTAGTTCTGAACTTTCACTGCTAGTGAAGGAAATCACTCATCCTGGAATGATTTCATATATTGTTTCAAGGAGATGGCACCAAACCAGTGTCTTGAAATACGTGCATGGTCTACCCAGCGTGCACTGTGTAAATGCACACATCAACAGATAACCATACATCCGTAGCCAATGCAATAAATCCAAGTAAACAAAAGTAATGTATGAATGTAGTGTTCTGAGGGTTTCCAGAAATTAACATCTCTTCTATAACATTAAACCATCATAAGTACTCCTATGCTTTTTGCACCAGTTAATTTCACAAGTATGTCTTAAAAGCTATTTGTAAAGATTAAATAAAACACTAAAAAATAATAGCATCTATTAAGATGCTTTTCTACTTCATGTCAGAACACTTATTTACCTGGAAAAAACATGCCAGGCAAAGCAAATAAAATTAGCAAAAAAAAAATTAAAAGGAAACCTTACAAGCACGCATCTCACAGATACATAACCCAAGGGCACAAAGTTTTCCATCCCCCTTGTGAGAAAAGCCAGTTTCTGCTCGAGCACGCGCCCACGGCACCTTACCTGTGACGAGCACAGCTTTGTCGCCCACAGGCAGCATCGCCCCGCTGCCCCGGCACGCGGCAGAGGCGAGGGCCACGGCGAGGGCTGCGGCGCACAGCATGGCCAGCCCCCCACCAGCCCCACCATCACCCAGCACGGCCACGCACAGCAGCCCCAGCCAGGCGGGCAGGAGGCTCCACACCAGCATCCTCGCTTGCTCCGACGGGCTCCACTTGGCCAAGTGGAGCACAGCCACCCCAAACAGCACGGTGACACCCACACAGAGCCACCCAAGGGGGCTGCCAGCAAGAGCATCCATCACCAGGGGCCAAGAGCAGGCACACACACCCCACCAGGGGCCGGGTAAAATCAGGTGTTGCTAACTGCAGCATGTGTTATATAGGAGCAGGGGGTGGGGCAGAGAAAGGGGACTCTCTTTAAAGGTTTGACATAATCTCACCCTTGGCATCAGTAAAAAGCAGAAGCCTTCCTTTTCTTGCCTTTTATTCCTTCTGCCTGACAGCTCCACCTTCTGAACAATATGCTGGCTAGATAATGATTGACAGCACTGGAAAAGGACTTGATGTAGCAAGTGCTGGCTTCAGGAAAAAATTAACTGCTAGATGTTTTGTATGTTTAAAGTACATTTTCCTAGACAGTAAAAAAAGAACAGTCTCCTTTATGGGAAACAGTTAAAATTTCCTGCCTAAAAACTTTGGGTGTAGTTTCAGTGGAACTGATTTTTGATGGGCGGTGACAAAAATGAGCCAGGACAGGGTGAGTTACTCTCTGTAGTACAAACTGCGTTTTTAGCATTGGGCTTCACCACATATGGCCACTCTCCTCTTTCAACAAAAAGCCCCAAAAGACCTTCCCTGCTTTAGTGCACACCTTTGGCTATTTACCTACTCCACATTCGGTGATCACCTATGGCTAACTGACATTCAGGGGGGTCTGGGAGGCTGGGAAGGGGCGATTGCTGGTTTGCCATTAGGGGTACTTTGTTAAGTGAACACATGTAACACACCTGAGACTGAGTCTTCAGGTGACCTCCAGTGATGACATTCACCTGAGTTTTGACAGGAATCAATGGTTCAATAGCCACAGCAAGTTGGGGGAAAGAAATGTAACCAAGGAAATGTGTTTGAGAGATCTAACACCTTCTCTGGTGTACTCTGGAAGTTATTTAAACAATAAGAAAATTTAAAAATCCATCTGGCTAAAAAGATTGAAATACAACTTAGGCATATTTAATCCTGTTTAAAAATCCCTGTTAATCAGTTTAAGAGACAAGCCTAAGTTATCACACAACCAGCTAACATGATGTAGCTGGTTTTCTGAAAGAAAATGTAGTGCTGACCTATTTTGCTTTAGACAGACCCAGAATATTAACGTGCAGGGCCCAAATCTAACATGAGACACAAGCACATTTCCGTTCCGTTATTCCTTTGGGTTTTTATGGGATGACAAATCTGTTGAATAGAAATTTTTACAGCCAGTGAAGATGTTTACATACCTCTATAGGTGGTTTACATTAGAGATGAGGTCATTGTCTTAAAGGAACATTACCCTCGAGGTCTGCTTGCCATTCATTACTATCCCGAGCACTCCTTCATCCATCCTCCCCCACTAGCGCACAAAGTGCAAACTATTTTCACTGCCCTTTGCCATTTGCTGCTTCTGCTTTTAGGAGCACGCTGGTGTCAAGGTCAGTTGCACCTTACTCTCCATTAAGGGATCTTCTTAAAGATTTCCTTGCAGAATTTTGCTTTCTGTCCCTGATCGGTCTTTATCACATGCTCTAGATGATCAGAAATGTGCTGGCATTTTAAGCATCCGCTCTCACACGAGGATACAGAAAGCTGGAGTTTTTGCATAGTGGGAAGAGGGGCAGAAGTGCCCACTTCCAGCTTAATGTCTGCCCTGGCCCCTTCATCCTGTGGGGAGGGGACAGAGGTAGGCAAGGGGCCAAGCCGTGGTGGCCACCATGCCTGGTCCCTGCAGAGCAACCTCCATTTGAGCTTTCCCCTCTGCTCCACGCTCGCCTGCCGCGTCCCCCATTGATATGCACATGTGCCCACCCTCTCCGTCACGCGCTGACTCAGCGGGTGGGGGGCTGTAGGGACTGCTGGGGATGCCGTATGTGTGCATTGCACACACGCCTGCTGCGGTGCGCTGGCACAACGCCCGTCTGCGTCCACAGCGCTGCAGAACGACTGGGGGAAGGGCTGGTGCGGACTCATCTCTGAATTTATATTTTGAGTACAAAATATACCACTGAAGGCTTCTTTTCATGAGAAGCTGACCACATGTTCACCCTGGTGTGTGAATAAAATTCTGTGTAAGTGCATAGCTCATACACACCATGAGGCAGCTTGCTGTCAGAAAGGAGGGTGTGATCTAAAACTGGCTGAGAAACGTTAACTTGAAGTACTCACCTCATGAACCCCCTGCACTTTCTCCAACACCAGCAGAGACAGATTGCTGCTTGAGGATTTTTGAGCACACTTTTGCAATGAGATAGGTTTTATCGTCTCATCCCACTATCCATCTTAAAGCATCTACTTTCCTCTGTACCACTTTGGTGTGTCTCCAGTTCTCACAGCTGTACATTAACACAAGATTGCAACGGAGTTTGCATTATTTCCTATCTCTCTATGGCATGCCCACTCATCCTACAAATATCCAACCTTATCTCACCTCATTCTTGATAGTTTTGCTGGCAAAGCTGTGGCTCCTCCAAATTATCAGGATGTCGCTTCAACTTGACACCTGACTTATAAGGGGAATGGATTTGAGCTAATTGATTTTGAGCTAAGATTGGCCTTCTACCTTTGCCAGGACATTTGTCTTTCTCCCCAGCTTTTCGGGGCCATCAGACAATAACTCAGTGCCCTACCCTTTAGGCCTTGGTAATCTACATACTCTATACCGACGACTGAACACTGCTTCCATAGTCTGCCCATGCCAATGCCAGACAGCAGCAGAGAAAAAATTCAGACCAGCTTCCTCGCTGAACAGTTCTGTTGTGCGACTGCTTACCCTCAATGAGCACTTTGATCTCTGTGCACGTTTCTGATGTTTGTAAAAGGGCCTTTGCATATCTCAAGCGTGCCCTGCCACGTAAGTCTCGTCATGCTAATTGGTAACCTTTGAAGGTCAGTTCAAGCAATGGCAAAAGAAGATGCCTTTCATGGAGAACAGTCCTTCCATGGTAGTCTGCAACATGAATGGCCAATCTCTACAGCATCTCTTGAGTCCAAATCCAGCTTGTTTTTCTCCAAACTCTACAGTCACCGCATCTTTCAGACTGTGAAGTATCACTGCAGCAGACTTTCCCCAAGACAAAGCAAGGACACCTCTCCAATGAGTGGGATCTTTACAATAGGCATCCACTCATTGACTCCATGTTCTCACTCTTTAGGCACAATCACTTCTTCCCAGATTTCAATTTACCTCTTTCCCATTTTTTAAGCTTTTCTCCTGTCATGTTAACTGGCTCTATGTTTTTCATCATGATGGCTCCAACCTGTGCTTTCGATTTCTGTTCTTAACACAAAAAAGGGCAAAATGTTTGAGTTTACCTGGTCCTTTGAAATGTGCTGAAGCCAAGCCTGTTCACAACTCCTTTGAAATGCGCCACCAAGCTCTTTTTCTGTTCTACCCTGGTAACGAGCACTCTTCTGTCTTTGCTTTTCATGGCTCCATTTCTGGTTCAGATCTCCTGTTGTTTATTTTTTTAAAGCCTCTGTGACTTTCCAGCATAGTAGAAGCTTCCAGTTCAACCACAAGGTTTTCAGAACGTCTCTGTCACCTTTCCTGCATCGTTTTTCACTTCTTTGGACACATTTCTCATGTGGTTTCTTTGCACTTTCCAGTAATTTGCTAGTCATTATTTTTCTTTTCAGCACTTTCCCTTCATCCAGAAGTACCATGTGCCTTATCCAGTAGTTGCTGTCTGTCGATATTCTTCTGTCCCATCTGCAACATGAATTACACTGTCTAGAAGCATGAACCAGTTTTTCTACATGTCCAATCTCAATCTCAGCTTCCTCTGCCTCTGCCAGTCACAGATTTGTTTTTCAGTTCAGGCCAGAGTTTCTCACAGAACTCTTTAGTTTTCCATTTTACTCTATTTTGTTTGCTGATTCAGGCTTTTTCAGCTGTGCAATGCAATGACTGTTGCTCCTGAGAGCCCCTGCTCCATGTGCTTTGTGTGCTTTTGTGACTTGCATAGGGGATCTGCACTTCAAGTTCTCTAGGGAGGTTCTTGGCTATGAGACTTTTCTTGGAAAATAATTTCAGCAGAAGATACGTTGGAATCTGTTTCACCAAATGAGTCATTAACCAAGATAGAAAAATTATACTTGTAAGTAAATACACATATGAGCAGAAAAAATATGGAATTATTTACTTTGATTGACTACAGCTTCTGAGAGTACATAAACACCTTCATACATTTGGATTTTGGTGGACTTAATGGCTACACAAGCACTTGCTAGGCTATAAGTCCTGGATGCAGAAGCTACTGAACTTGCATACACAAAACTCATCTGGGCAAGCAGACTTTGCTCTTACAAATACTACTGAACTCCTTTGCAAAGGCTGAGATAATCCTCTGCCTTCAGCCAGTTATCTATTCATGCACTCTGGAAGCACATGAATTGTCCCAGTAAAGACAATGAAACTAGTAGTCTGCCTAAAGCTAGGTACATAGCCAAGTACCTTTGTGAATTAAGATCTCTGAACTCACAAGCATGTACTCAATAAGGGCAAGAAAAATAAACGTGCAACTGAAAATAAGGCTCTGTAACCTCTTCTTTGTCTTCAAAGTACTTCTTTAATATACCCTTAGGGAAAATTATTGCTGTCAAATAAAGTCTGTATCCATTAAAGAAAAGTAAGAAATATATTTTACTTCTAAGTTACTGGAGATTTTGTTTTTAGAAATACAGTAATTGTAAAGCTCATAAATTCAGAGATAGAGAGTAATTCCTGAGGATCACTTGGCAGTGAAGAAACAGCCGTAGCTCACCATTTCTTAATATTCCATTCTAACAAAAAGCTAATAATAATAACAATAATAATTACTTCCTCAGCTATATCTCCTGTTACTTTCTCAAGTGTAAGAGCCTTAGAGTGAGGAACTTCTGTACTGATGGCCAAACTGGACCTGTAAATCCTTTTGGCAGGTACCCCTAGAACACACACCTTAGCATTATACAATCTTTCAAAGAAATAACCGGAGCCCACATTTCCCATGTGAATCCAGTGCCTGCAGCAGCCCTATCTTTGCTTTGAAGCAGTAGGTCTTGTAAT